GGGCAACGCGGGTCTTCAGGTGGTCACTTTATTGTAGAGGGGGCAACTTGGGTCTTCAGGTGGTTCCTTTATTTATTTATTGTACATAGAGGGGAAGAGTTTGCCCTGGTCTTCAGGTGGTTGTTTTATTGTAAATGGTGAGAGGAATTCTTTCTGGCTTTTCAGGTGGATATGGTGTGTAGCGGTCTTTAGCTTTAGGTGATCACTCACTTTGTTATAAAGGGGAGAGGCCTTCCTGAGTCTATCTGATGGGGATGGGGGAGGGGACTCTGTGTGTGTGTGTGTGTGTGTGTGTGTGTGTGTGTGTGTGTTTTGTAAATGGAGGGGCATTCCTTGAGGTGGTCATTGTACTGGTGAATAGGATGAGGTAACTTTTCTGAAGCAGTCTAACCTAGGGTTTCTGGTTTGTGTGAGTTTTGAGGCTTGGGAAGCAGTCTTTTGGCTTCTTTCTGCTTGCTTTAATTCCCCCACCCTACATGTTATTTGTACCTATTTGCATTTAAAAGTTTGCTAATGGTTGTTCTGCCCTTTCTGGCTTTCTCGGTCCAAAGCTCCCTTAATCTTCCTCTCCAAGACTCTGACCTTTTCTGTACTAGACTGAAAGGCACATCTATTCCTGGGAGGCTAATGCTTATAAAGTATTTTGAGTTTTTCTGATGAAAGGCACTTTAGAAATGTATAATGCAGGATTGTATAGAATTACTTTTATCCCTTCTCTAGGACTCATTCCCCTCCCCCTACTCCTGGCAAGAAAGCCTAAACATACAACTTTCTTAATATCTAAACAAATTCCAGAGGACATTTACTTTGTAGATTTCCTTGAGTTTAAAGGTTAGCGCTTTCCCTTTTATTAAAAAAGTAGCTACTACTGAATTGGAACATGGGAGCTCTTTGCTGCTATGTTCCATATGATGTGCAGTAGTTTCAGACAGGAAGTCAGTGAAGTTATGTCCTGTTGAAAGTACAAACGGAAATTAAGGAAGCAGAATGACATTATCAAGACCTCAAAATCACTTGCATATACACCAATGGCAAGTGCACTGTGGAACATGGTGACCAGTGAACATCTCAACATTCAGATTTTTTTGATAGTTGGAATATTGGGGACTGATTGGTCTGATTACTGCACATAGACTAATACATCAACTGCTTATTTCTGTTTGACTGTTTAGGGCAGTGCCTGGCACACAGTAGGTACTTCATAACTATAGATTGATTGATTGTTTAGGGGTTGTTCTGCCAATGCAGGAATACTCTGATTTGTGTTACATTCTTGTCAATATACTATTGGGAGTCCCTTTTAGTCATGGGTTCTGTGCCCTTGTATCCCAAGCATCTTTTTTGAAGGCTTGATAATTAATGGCTCTAGTGCTTAGGACTTTGGGTTAACCCTTAAACTTGGTGACTGCTCCAGTCCTTGGAAAGCTTTGCTCCCACTAAAACCATCTTTATTAACACAAATTCTTCTCAATGTGAAGGACTCTTAGTTCATATAAACCCAGTAAGGGACAGGCATTCTTCCAAATCACCCTGTACTTTCTGCTTTCAGAAACAGAAAGTGAGCTTTTCTTTCAGTGGAGTTTCCTTGGGGGTTTCTTCTCCTTACAGCTCTTCTTTGGTTGGTGTAAGCAATGAATGGAGAGGCTTGGAGGCCAGGCGATCATTGAAGGAAAGGCTGGTTGGAGACTCTGTAGGGCCCAAGTGTAGGCTTCTGTGTGGGAGTAGATTTTGCCTACAAACTCTCTCGGGGCCTCAGGGTGTGTGCCTTGTGCTCAGTTTTTATGAGGCACCTGGGATGTGGCTGGAAGAGGAAAATCTGGCTGAAAAAGTTGACAGGCAGACTTGTATTTGTTGTTGGGGTGGGGAGGGAAACGGATGGATTTTGGTGACTTTGAGGGTGAGTTAGAAAGGGTCATCCAGGAATGGTCGCTTCTCTGGGAAAGTAGGTCAGCTAGGAATGGTCTTGCCTCTGGGAACGGTTGGCTAATTTTAGGACACCTGTATACATGACAAATAGTTTAGAACTCCTGAACAGAGAGAGTGTGCTGTGACTCAGAATTGCAGAAGTAAGACCACTCCCTCCGTGACTCAAAAGTCAAGTAATATTTAATTTTCATAAACCCAGTTGATGGAAAGAAACCATTTACAACATAGTCATTGAACTTTGGAAATATTATAAAAGAGCAAATATGTGGCTGATTTTACATATAATTTAAAAAATAAAGACCTGAAGGCTTAAAAGTATTATTTTTAGTGGGAACATTTTCCAGAATATTAAAAAAAAATAACATTGACCATTCTTGAGGATTGACCTTCTACTTGTTTACTAATTTACCTTAACATTTTTCCAGAGCAATTATCTGCAAAACTTACTCATATTGAGGAACAGAATTGAAATATAAGGAGTGATTTGTTTTTCAGCACTAGGGCAGAATTGGGGGTTGGAAACTATAGTGAAGTCTCTGGAGAAAACTTAAAAATAAAATGTTGAGACATTTGATGCAAAGGAATGAACACTAACCCTGTGGACAGATTTTTGATCTATTCACCTTCAACAGTAGGCTGGTCTAAATTGGTAGGTGTTTTTCCTGGAAGTTCTATGAAAAAATTGGGTTCATTTGAAAATTGAAGTTCCCTCTAGAAGAAGATGAGTGGCATACCATCTCTTAAGTGTGTTACATATGCCATGTTTGATATTGCTCAAGGTACACAACACTGCTGTTTAGGAGACTTGTTGAATAGCAGAGTTGTACTTTGTAAATCTTAAAGCACTATATAAAAGTGAATTGTTTGTTATTATAGCTGCTACTGTAGGGTTTAGGATTGTAACTTTCAACAGTTGATCACGTCACCTTTTTTGCCTAGTAAAAATAGCCAACAATGGACAATTTTTTCCTTCGGTAGTGCCCTGGCTTATGTTATTCAGTTGTGTTCTGCTATTCATGATCCCATTTAGGGTTTTCTTGGCAAAGATACTGGAATGGTTTGCCATTTTCTTCTCCAGCTCATTTTACAAATGAGGAAACTTCAGCAAATAGAGTTAAGTGACTTGCCCAGGGTCACAATGCCAGTAAGTGTTTAAGGCTGAATTGGAACTCGGGTCTTCCTAACTCCAGGCCCAGCACTCTAGCTACTCTGCCACATAACTGCCTATGCCCTAGTTTATAGTAATCTAGTAGTCTGTTTTCAGTCCTTCTCCCACCCATTATTTTTTACAAAGAGCTATGTAGGAGATAGTTAAGTGCCCAAATTATCCTTTGCTCCTTGAAATACAGATTTTTGTTTTAAACTTTTTAATTATTCCTTTAAAAGTATGTAAAATCTTTTCCTGGCATATTTGTTCTGTGATTTCTGTTTGTGATACACAACTTGATACTATGTTCTTTAGAAATTGATGCATAATCTCTTGATTTTATAAACCATGGTGAAACAGTACATTTAGTTATCTTGGTTTTGAGCCATGTTTCATTGGATTTTGAAATGTTGATTTAATTCTCTCAATCTTTGGGGAAACAGGAGAGCTTCTGACTGCACTAAACTTCACAACTATTGTATACATAAAGGTGTCTGATAACTTTCAGTAATTATTCTTTGTTGAGTTAGCAGAATCACATTTTCCAGCTTTTTTTAACTTCCTGGTTGGTTTTCTGAAAGCTTTGCACAGTTGCCTGATTTGGAACTGAAGTGGGTATTGTATGTGAATGCCATTCTTTTGAGGAGCAGCTTGGTCTTGGCCAAACCAGATTCCACTGTTATCCAGGCAGCCCCTCCAAAAGTGGCTCTAGATCTGTACTGGCTCTGTCTGCTTTCTGTAATTATCCTTTGTTGAATTAACCAGAATGAGGGTGAGGAAGTGGCCCCTCTCCAGCATTTTTCTTTTTTCTTTTCTTTCTTTTTTTTTTTTTGTTTGTTTGTTTTGTTTGTTTTTAGGCAATTGGGGTTAAGTGACTTGCACAGGGTCACACAGCTAGTAAGTGTCAAGTGTTTGGTCTGAGGCCGGATTTGAACTCATGTCCTCCTGACTTCAGGGCCGGTGCTCTATCCACTGCGCCACCTAGCTGCCCCTTCTCTAGCATTTTTCAAGGAAGATTCTTACATCATCATTACGCAAGGTTTCTGTAAGATTCCATAGCAAAATACCTGTGAGGACATAACCAGTCATAATCAGCATTTTTTACATATGTGATATACGTATGGTTTTGGTTTTCCTGAATTGAATTTATTAACCAGTAACATGGAGTCTACTGTAGTTTAAACAACCCACAAACCCTATTTAATTTCATCTTTTTAATATAAATTTATCTTGTGCAATGTTGACTTTTCAGACTTTAGGGAGTTATAAAATTACTCTTTTCAGTGACCCTTTTGTTAGCTGAGCCCATTTTGAAAAATATTTTGACCATTGGAAGGGCTTGGCTTTAGAGAAGCAGGATTTTAATTCTTTTCATAATGTCTTTGGGTTGAGATTTCATCTTTCTCAGAAAATGTTAATTCTTTTGGCACAAAATGCACATGTGATATATTTGCTTTAGAAGATCAGATACAGTATTCTATTTTTATTGCTGCTGTGGCCAAAACTTTGGCTTTTAAACTAATGTATTTGACTAGAATTCAGATTTGTTGGAGTCTCCCTGAGGTCTTTTAGTGTTAACCTTATTTTTCATCAGGTGTTGGACGTC